AGGAAAGAGAAAAACCGAGAAATGAAACTTAACTTCTGCTCCCTAGAAGCATCTGGACATTAAGCTCACGGACAAGCACAGAGTGGGGAGTGTGGTGGGGGTGGGGAAGAAGAACAACACGCAGATGAAGAAAGAAAAAAGAAAATGAACAAATGAGAGGCCCCAGGCATCATGCTAACCGTTGCTGCTTGCTGCTGTCTCCGCGCCCTTTGACCCTCACGTACCATTTGTATAATGGCATCAGCCTCAGCCTCCAGCTGCCGAACAGCTGCCTGGATGCTGCTAGCCGAGCCCAGGCTGGAGGTACCTGGGAATGGGGAGCAGATAGAAGGCCCTTCAGGCTGCAGAAAGAGGGCAGAAGCAACCCCGGGGAAGCTGCAGCGGCTGGTGACCAAGGGGTGTTCCAAGGGCACAGCCGCAGGGCACTGAGCAAAGCCAGAAACAGTGAGTCCTCACCCCCTCCCCCTACAGCCCCTTGGATGAGGAAATGGAATAGAGACCAACCACTGGCTGGCATCCTGTGCCTCAGCTCCAGACCTGGACAAGGTGGGCCCCTGGCTAAGTGGCCTACCTAGCCTGCCTGTCTGCTTGGCCTTCTTGTTAGCTCTGCGTGTGTCATCTCGGAGCTGAATGATGACCTGCAGGACACGCAGGAAGAACTTCTGCGTGGACGTTTTTGACGTCAGCATGGACATGGACGGCAGTTGGAGCTCTCGACCGCCCAGTGGGCGCTTCTGAGATGCCACGATCACCACATTCTCAGCTGTGTCAAACCTAGGGGGCCGGGCAGAGGGGTGTTTTTGCTGTGGTTGTGGCTATGTGAGTGTGAGAGAGAGAAAAGCGAGCGAAGGAGACCCGGGGTGGTGTGGGTGGGGTGCTGTGTGTGTGTGTGCACCCTAATTGTGCACACGCAGAGAAAGACACATACACAGAGTGAAGGGGGAAGAGAGAGAAAGGGAGGGAAAGAAGAGAGAGACAGAGAGGAAGAAAGAGACAGAGACAGAGAGGAAGAAAGAGAGAGAGAGATGAGAGAGAAGAGGAAGGGAGGATGGGATGAGGGTGGGGGAGGAAGAGGAGATGAGAGTAGGAAACACATGCCCAGGGAAGGAAAAGGGTGCTGCCAGTAGGCTAGGTCTTGGCCACCAACACTGTGGAGCCTAGGTGTTGCCCAGAAGAACAGCGGCCCACCTGCTCTGCATCTTTCCTTTCAGTCGGGTAGCCTGGGGTTGCTCTTCGGGCAGCCCATCTGGAGACAGGATCTCACACT